ATGGCTTCAACTTTTCTTTCAAATTTCACAATCTTAGCCTCGTTTCTCATAATCATCTCAACCCTAATCAACCCATCCTCCGCCACCATCCCCCGCCGACTCGCCGTCGTCCAAACGCCACCCACAGTCCTCACTTACCACAAAGGCTCCGTCCTCTACGGCAACATCACCGTCAACCTCCTCTGGTACGGGAAATTTTCACCCGCTCAGAAGTCGATCATTCTCGACTTTCTCAAATCTCTCAACAACCACCTCCCGCCACCCCCTTCCGCCGCTTCATGGTGGCAGACCACCCGTCGATACAAAGGCGGGAAAAGGAGCATACACGTCGGGAAACAAATCGTTGATGAAAAATACTCCCTTGGGAAATCGCTTAAAGAATCCAATCTCATTTCTTTGGCTTCTAAAGCTAAAGGCTTTAACGTCATCAGCCTGGTGCTCACGGCGGCCGACGTCGGAGTGGCGGGGTTCTGCATGAACCGCTGCGGGACTCACGGGACTACTCGGGTGAACAAAGGACATAATTTCGCATACGGGTGGGTGGGTAACTCGGCAACTCAGTGTCCGGGTCAATGTGCTTGGCCTTTTGCTCAGCCGATGTTTGGCCCAAAAATGCCATCGTTGGTGGCGCCCAACGGCGACGTTGGCGTCGACGGCATGATAATCAACCTGGCGGCGGTTCTAGCGGGGACGGTGACGAATCCATTTGACGGCGGGTACTTCCAGGGTCCGGCTACTGCTCCATTGGAGGCGGTTACTGCTTGTACTGGTATATTCGGGTCGGGTGCTTTTCCCGGGTACCCGGGAACAGTTTTAACGGATAAAAAGACGAAAGCTAGCTACAATGCGCAAGGCGTGAACAAGAGGAAGTATTTGTTGCCGGCCATGTGGGACCCTAAGACTTCCACGTGTAAAACACTCGTGTGAGATAAGAATTGGATAACTACGAGGATGACGTGTCATGATATGACCTGTCATTTAAAAATTAAATATATATATTTGATTTATTTGGTTGATAAAGTACGTGGAGTGAAAAAATGTAAAAAAACGGTGTATTGTGTATTTATGGCTTCATTTTTACTTTCATTTCGATATTGCTATATATTTTTTCAGATTATATTTTAAAAATACGGTCTTAAATCATGCTTGTGATAAAAGGATTTAGTAAGCTAAAAATAATTATTAAAAAAAATATACGTTGTTATTTTATTTAAAAGAAAGGAGATGATCGTCAAAACTTAAAATTATACTCAATATGAATAAACTAAAGGGATAATGACTTGAGAGGGTAACATACTATTGTTTTTGGTCACATTTGGTCACTAAACTTTTTTTCGTGCTCTAATAGCCATTTAACTTGTTGATTCGTGTAAATTTTCCCCCTATGACTGATTATAGTCGGTTTCAACGATCGCATGGGTCTGATGTGACTTTTTTATCCTAGGTGGCCAATGAGGTGGCATGTAGGCCCCAGATTTGCCTCCCATCCTCATTAAAGTTAAGAGTGAAGTCTCGTTTGGTCCTTAAATTCGATTAGGGCACCAAGTCTCATTAACCCCCGATTTTTTCTCCTTCAATCTTCAATCGGTCTCTATAATGGCTTCATCACAATGTCCCACTGATCGAAACTTCATTGTAGTGGATTTCCACTATAATGGAACGTTTGCACCCAACCCATTAGTATACTTTGATCCCGACAGACAATCAGTAGGAGATGTTGACTTCAGTGCATTTGAGTACGAGGAGTTCATGGAATTCCTTCAAAAGCTCACCAGAACTAGAAGCAAAGACATCTACATCTGCCTTCCACAAGAGTCTTTAAGTCAGGGAATTCATACACTGGTGAATGACGGTGATTACAAAGAATTTTTGGATTTGGCTTATGCAAATGAGAGGAGAATGAATGTGTATGTGGACCACTATAATGAACCAATCTTCGAATGGATTGAGGAAGAGGAAAATAAAGATCAAGACTACAGCTATGAAGAGGATGAAGACTCAGTATTGTCGGACACTTATTCTGTTAATCATGAAGAAGATGATGCTGAATATCCATTCCCAGCCAACAAAACCATGGGTGACAGGTTCTTAAACAAACTTTGTCTACACACATTAAATGTAGATGATGTATATGAAGATGCTGAATATGTTGAACCTCAATACCCTGTACATGATGATAGAAAACCATGGAATCAGGTGAAACCACTGTTAGGTATGCGATTTTCTAACCCTGATGAGCTTAAAAACATGTTGAGCAACTATGCAGTTGCTAATGGATATGATCTCTGGTTTGAAAAAAATGACTCCCAAAGGTTGTTAGTTAAGTGTTGCAAAAAAAAACAAGTCACCTACTTGTCCATTTAGACTTTGGGCCTCTTGGATGAGTAAAGAGAGGACTTTTCAGATAAAATCTTTAGTTAGTGAACATAATTGTAGCAGGGTGTTTAAGTTTGGGTCCATAGTAACTTATAAGTGGTTAGGCAAACAGTTTATGAGTGAAATTATAGAGAAGCCAAAAATGAGTGTTAGGAAGATGAAAGCTAAAGTTTCAACAACATTCAATATAAATGTGAGTGTGGGGCAATGCAGAAATGAAAAGAAATTTTCATTACAAGAAATTAAAGGAAGTCTAATTGAACATTATGAGAGATTATGGTCATATGGCCAGGCACATTGTGGCTAATTTTGCTAAAAGGTTTATTGGTCAACATTTCAGGAAGCTTTTTTGGAGGGCTGTCAATGCTAGTACTGAACAGAAGTTCAAACATGTAATGGAAAAGATCAAATCTTTAGATACTCAAGCATATGACTACCTTATAGACAGAGATCCTACTACATGGTCTAAGGCATTTTTTATAGAGGGAATAGATTGTGATGCAGTTGAGAATGGGGTGAGTGAGAGTTTCAATTCTGCTATTAGGCATGCTAGAAGGAAACCAATCATCACTATGCTAGAGGAGATTAGGATATTTGTGATGGAGAGGATATACAGTCAAAGAGTAGAAGGAATTGAATGGGATTTGACTATCTGTCCAAGTATTAGGAAGCTTATACAAGATTTGAAGTTTAAACAGAGGTAACATGTAGTTTTACAATTCAAAAAATGGTTTTTATTAGTTTGTGTTATTAGTTATTAAGTTGTAGTCATTATTGCCTTATACAGATTGTGGGGGGGTTACTCCTTGTGGTTATCAAAAGTATGAAGTTAGGTTTAATGATGCAGCATATGGAGTGGATCTAATTGCAAAGACTTGTGCATGCAGAATATGGAAACTTACAGGGATACCATGCTTACATGGAGTAGCTGCAATCTCTTCCCTGAATCAAGATGCAGAAACATATGTGTCCCAATCATACAGTAAAGAGGCTTATCTAAAATGCTATAATTATAGCATTAACCCTCTCAATGGTAGTGATATGTGGCAAGAAGTTCCTTATCGAAAGCCTTTGCCTCCCAAAAGAAGAAGATTACCTGGTAGGCCATCAGTGAAAAAGAAGAGGGATGCAGTGGAAAGGGAGTTGAGTGGACCAGTTAGACATTCTGTGACAAGAAGGGGAGCCCTGATAAAGTGTAGTATTGCAAGGATCCAGTCCATAACAAGAAAAAGTGTCATCTAAGCAGCAAACAAATACATTAGGTAAATGTCCTAATCATCTAAACATAATACAACATTTTGATAAGTAATTGAGACTTCAACTTTTTTGCAGCACCCAGTTCCTCCAGGGGTAGTGGAGCAGGACCAAGTCAACCACCAGCAGCAGCAACCCAACCACCACCAACAGCAGCAGCCCAACCACCTCAACCACCCCCACCAGCAACAGCCCAACCACCTCCACCACCACCAGCAGCTGCAAGGCCTGTCCCAAGAAGGGCCCCAATTGGTAGAAGTGGACGGAGGCAATATTCTGAAAGTATTGTCAAAATGGCATTGAGGAGGAACATAGCTGGGGTTGGGAGCAGTGCAGAGAACCCTGCATTCCTTAATTAAGTTAGTGTGTAGGTAGTGGGTGGGCACATCTTTTGTTATCAAGTTGTGATGTAAAGACAATACTATGTTTTATTTATGCTTTTCTTTTGGGTTTGTGGGCACATGATGGCCCTTCTTTTGTGGTCCCTAGAAGGAATCTTTTGTCCTATCTTTTGTGTATGCAGACAACTTCTTACCATTTATTTAATTTCGAATATTGATGAAGTATTTCAATGAATTCAACCACCATATTCAATTACTTTCTTGTTATTTCTATGCATTGTTGTCTCAGTGATTCCATTACAGTCAAAGAATGGAATCATATATTGTTAGCTTAGATAATATGACAGTTAATCAGTTTTAACTACCAAGGGTAGTTTCGTTATTTTCTACTTTCTATTCTGTTACAAGTTATTTAGACATCTTGATGTGTAATGTTATTAATTGAAGGAAGTCTAATTGAACAATATGGGAGATTATGGTCATATTAGCTAAGCTTTTGACTGGAATTAGAAAGAAGTAATTTTGACTGGAATCATAATGTAGTAATTGAAGAAAGTCTACTTTCTAGTCTGTTACAAGTTAATTAGACGTCTTGATGTGTAATGTTATTAATTGTACATATATGCCTTCATTCCAGTCAAAATTACTACTTTGTGATTCCATTCCAGTCCAAATTACTTCATTCCATTCCAACAAGAAGTTAAGATAATGCCTTCATTCCATTCAAACAACATCTTTCAATACATCATTTCACATCATTTCATCATATACACGATGATCAAAAAAAGAAATCCTATGGTAAACTTATATATTTTTTCCTTCATTGCAATGGCATCAGAGTACTTTTCCTTCTTCATTTGTTCCATGTCTTCCTTCACCTTCTCTACTTCGGTCTTCAATGCTACTAATTTAGCTTTCATTCCCTCCACCACTTCCATTAGAGGCATTTGTACAGGTTCTACATCCAACCATTTCCAATATTTGCATTTACCCTTCAACACAAATAACTCATAATGAGATTTCAAATTAGGAAAAAAGAATCAGAAAAGGGAGAAGATTCAAGTTAAATAGCTTACCTCATTGCACACCATGAAATGCCTCCCTGGATTCTTTGGTGTTGTTGACGTTAGAATATGTGCAGGGAACCCACAATCACAAGTTTTTGGATCGTTCGTTGTTGATTTCTCGCTTGATCGATTGAGGGATGATGAGAAGCTGTAGGAGGAAGCCATCGGGGTATTAGCGAACAATCAAGGAACCACATACACCCCTCTTTTAATAACATTAGCCCTACATGCCACGTAGGATCAAACTGACACGTAGGATCGACCAATCCATTGAAACCGGCAAAAAACAGTCGTAGGGGGGAAATTTACACGAATGAACAAGTTAAATGGCTATTAGAGCACGAAAAAAAGTTTAGTGACCAAATGTGACCAAAAGCAATAGTATGTTACCCTTTCAAGTCATTATCCCTAAACTAAAACACCATATGCGTCATTTTATTTTCATTACAAACTAAGGTTCTTATCGCTGTATATCAATTGCTCTTGTATAAATCAATACAACCTAATTTAACTATTCACTGTATTTACAGAAAAATCATAATATTACTTTTATGTTATAAAAAAATCCTTATATTATTATTTACAGAAAAATCTTTATATTACTTTTTTGTTATAGAAAAACTCTTTTATTATTGTTTACGTTTCAGATAAAAACCAAGTTACAAATTTTAAAGATAAATGTCCGACTAAAATTATGATATGAAATATATAGCCCTTATATTTTATTGATTGTATATGAAAACATGTCAAAACATATATTTACTTCGACTACTTTCGTTTGATTATGTTCTTCATATGGAATTATACGATTGATTTTTCCTCCTTAACTAATCGTTTTATCATAAATAATTCTTCATATGGAATTATACGATTGATTTTTCCTCCTTAACTAATCGTTTTATTATAAATAATATCAATGTCATATTAAAAAACAGAAATGTTAGCAAGATCAAATTTGTAGTCGTCAATTTCCTTTAAAACCCCATTATTTTGGTCTTTTCCGAATAATAACTACTAATGTAAAGGTTTTTCTAAACATAAAAATAATAGTATAAGAATTTTCTATGTATAATTAGTTGGTTTTTTTCTGCATACATCCCTTATTTCAATCCTATTAATAACGACCGATATTCAATAAAAAAGAATCATACTTAATTTGATATTAAATTGGATTGATTTTATCCATTTCATATTTAATATTGCTTATTAAGTGTATTTAATTAGATCCATCAAATCTAATCTTTTTTAATACACGTTTAGAATGTATAAATATATAATTTAATACTTTATGATATTTGGAATAAATGAGAATTTGATAATTCCTATTTGAATTTGAAATTTTGAAATTGGCATGTAATTGTTCGAAACAGGTGATTTTAAAGATTGTTTATGAATTAGTATAACATCAAAACTATAGTTTTAACGTTTTAATCCCTAGGTCCATTTAGAATTATAAAGATAAACAATCACAATAAAGTTCATAGATTCTGTTACTTCAAGTGGATACACTTTTATGCCGAAAAACATTAATCACAAATAGATGGTCTTTATTGATATCTATATAGACTTAGAACAAATGCTACTAGAGAACCAAAAAGGTTATATCACTTTTCTTTCTTGGGTGATCACTGACCACAAAGGGATGGGAGAGGGAGAGGCACCATATTTTAGGTTAATGGAATGAGTGTTGAGATGTTGTGTCTAACCTAAACAGTGAAGGTGGAGTTGCTATAACAACTTCGGGATAGGGTGAAGCGCAAAACTTCAACATTCAAGTTACGATCCGGAATTGTCTGAAGAGCGCAACGTTCAAAGTGTCCAAAGTTGTCTGAAGAACTGTCTTATGTGGAGTTGTTCGGTGGTGAATCTAAAACTCAAACTCATAATTGTCCAATTTAAATTGAATAACAAAAATAAAAGAATCAAATTTATGTTTTATCATGATGGGTTATTAATAATATCATATAAAATAAATATAATATTAACTTTAACATCAAAATCATATCAAACAAATATATATAAATAAATGGGATTATTCTAAACACTTTTATTCTAAACACTAATAATAGTCGTTCATGTTTGGTTTTATTCAAACAATAGTCTAAAATAAATAGTCAAAACTACGAGTTTAGTATCAGAAGCAATTTTATGTTTGAATAAACTAAAACTATTTTACCCATCGATGATCATTTTGCAAAGCTAGGAAAGATTAAAAATGTTGAATATATAAACTCAAAAATCATTATTGAATAATATTGCTAATAACATATGATCCTATAGGGTCATATCTTTATCAAGTTGGCACATTGTGGATGTTTATTACTAATATGATTATTAATAAATAAATTCGACTCTTGTAATTAATTAGTAAATAATTATTATTTATGGAAATAATATTTTCTAAGAGAGAAAAACAACTAATAGTTTATAATGTATGATTTATATGTTTATGTACATTTTTTTGGACCTTTAGTAGTCCATTTATATGAAGTTAGTTATATAAATATAAGATGTACATACTTGTATACATTTGTTAGTGGAAGACCACCATACTTTGACCATGAAGGTCAAAGTCATGGGAGAGTTTCCTCTTTCACCTCCAAGACTTCTTCCATTAGCCCATTCTTTCACTAAATGACGGGTGGTGCTTACTCCATGCATGCAACTAAAAAAGGAGAGACTTAACTAACTTATTTGGTTTCTTGAACTTTTGATAGTAAAAAATCTCTCTTTTTCCTTATTAGAACCATATGTTCTTTCTCTCATCCTCCTCTTCTTGTCTTTTGAAGCTAGTTGAAGACCTGGTGTCTTAGGAGTGCTTCTCCTTAGTGCTTAATTGTGTTAAGGACTCAAGGATTAAGAAGTACTTCATACAATATGAGAACTAGCATTCTAAGTGCCTTACTCTTGATGGTGGATACATTATAAAGAAGACCAAGCTTCTTGTTCTTTGTTATCTTCATCAACTCCCCAATTCCAAGTGGGATCAAAGTCTTCAAAGGTTGCAGTTCTAAACATCTTATGGTTTTCATAATCTTTATAGTTCATGTATTTGGATCCTCTTGGTGGTTTGTTAAAATGATATAAAAATAAACTAGTTATTTTAAAAATGTTTCGTTTGCCGTTAAAATTGTTTTTATAAAAGAGATCATTTTTAGTTTCCCAAAACCTATAAAAAACAACCATAGAAAATGAAAGTGTTACAACCTTCGAAGACTTTGGTTCCTTTTGGAGATTAGGAAGTTGATGTAGAATGTAGAGCAAAGTTCCTTCTTGTCTAGGACGCCAACAATAGCTTAACTTGATAAAGATGCTAGTCTAGATCTTGTAATAAAAGGTTACTCTTAAAATTTAAGTTAATACCAAGTATTAACTCAAAGAGAGTAAGAAAGTATCATCTTCATCTTCATATGATTTAACCCATTAAGTGTTTAAGAGAAAGAAATGGATAATGAGAGCATATCCACGGTTATTTACAACGAAAAAACTGATAAAAAACTAGCTCCATAAGCTTATTTAAATACTTCAAATCATGCTTTGAAGTCTCATCGAACCATACCCATTTAGTCCTAAATGTAAGATATATAAAGTGATAGCACTTATGGGTAAAATCACAAGCAACAACCAAGTAACCTACCTCTTAAAGAGGTCAACGGGTTCGGAGTGTCCAATAGAGGAAGAGTGCTTTGAAATCTTCTAATTTATATAAAATACTTTCCAAGTTTTATAAAAACTAAACTAATTTAGTTTTTATAAAAGAAAATGAATTATATAAATCATTCCAAGTGTTTTTATTTGATACTTTCATTAGAAAAATATTATTTTCAAAAAAATGATTATTTTTCAAGTAATTACAAGAAATATAAATATTTATTAAGAATCCAATCCTTATATATATATACACACACACACATTAATATTAATATTTATCAAGAATCAAATTCTTTTATA